GGAGCAACACCATAAACGAACCCAAAGGGGCATCCTCGCTTCACTGCTAGAAAATTCATACGAGGACACTCTGAATGGGATACTGTGCTATCACATCTGGAATAAATATAACATTGGGTCCGTTTTCGAAAAAAATCATTCGTGAGTGACAATAGTTTAGTAGTACAACTACTTGTCTGTGACACGAAAGTTGAAAGTGTCATTTGTCAAGAAAACGTAACCACCACTTCAACATTATAGGAACTATACACGATCTTTCAGAGCCATGTACGGGTTACGAATATTATTCGCCCTACTTCTATCGACCTCGGCAACGCTATGCGTCTCACGGAGAGATGAGCCAAGCAATATGTCTGATGAGATAAAAAAGGCCTTCATGAAGGAGAAAAAGCTTGAGGTAGAACCAGAGATTAGCAAAACACAAGCCTATAAGACATTGGTTGGTGGTGAGCCGGCTGTCTTGATGGATGTGTGGATGGGTGACGAGGAGATCAAGTTGATGCTATTGCCCGCCCCTGTGTTCTCCTCAAAGTTTGAAGCAAGCACGCAGACACACACGAAGAAAGAGAAGATTGTTATTCAAAAGCAGTATACATTCAGAGTCGGTAGTTTTAGTAATACACCAATTCAAGGATATGCCACACTTAATCGCAACGGGCATCTCAAGGACATGATGGTCAAGACTGAATTTGTCACTTGGGTGTATGAAGAGATCAGTGAGGGTTTCAGTTTTGTGTATGAGGCAAAACATGTGACTGACGACCACGTGTTTGGTGGGCAGTATAAATATCCACCAGGGAAAAACGGGGGCGCAGCTATAAACTTCGCTGACATTGAATTTGAAGGGGAATGGCGGGGGCGAAATAGAATCGGACCGGAATCAAGGGAAGACGAATTAATTGAACTCGCCATAGCGCGAGAAGAGCAAAACATTTGGCTGAACAACCAGGTATGTCTTATGGCACGTGGTTCAAGCATTGATAGGAACACCTTTAGTTAGTCATATACTGATTCGAGAAGATTTAGCTTTACGATCTCAACCAACCGGATAATTGATATGTGACTTTGCCTATAGCAAGCTCGTAGTGCAGGTGTCAATTTTCACGAAATTCTTGTTGCTATCATATGTAGTCCAAAGAGTTCATATAGTAAGAATACCAACTCGTTTGTGTATTAGTTGGGAGTGCCAGTTTATTTCTGACTATCGCTAGGCTTACTTCATTGTAGCATAACCATTGTGTCGCTCAATAAATCATAGTCGTCTTAATTAGTCTATAACAAGCTGCCCCCTTAGTTTTATAGTCGATCACAGAAAAATGTCTGTTATAATTGTCCGATGAAGTAAGGCGGACAAGTTTGGCAGTTAGCTAGCTAGCTCCTGGTAGTGTAAGATACTACTCAGCCCATATTGCTGCTTGCTCCGACAAACGATTGACATCGATGTAATTTCGCTGGATGTCAGATAAGTACGCTGCAATGATATGTATCGCACTGTCTTGATTTGTCTATAACAAGCTGCCCCTTTAGTTTTATAGTCGATCACAGAAATATGTCTGTCTTATAATTGTCCGATGAAGTAAGGCTGACAAGTTTGGCAGTTAGCTAGCTAGCTCCCGGTACTGTAAGATACTACTCAGCTCATATCGCTGCTTGTTCTCACAAACGATTGACATCGATATAATTTCGCTGGATGTCAGATAAGTACGCTGTAATGATATATATCGCACTGCATGTAGTTGTCAGTCTGTGTAGTGTGGCACATACTATTTTGTATGTACAAGAGGCAAACTGTTCGGTCCGGTTCATTAGTGGAGATGAACATGTACTCAATCAGAGTTTGTACTCAATCAAGCGTCTATGTTCCTACAATCTGCCTCATTGTTAGTACGCTGACTACCACAAAATGCTGTCATAGTTTTAAAAGCCATCCTGAGCACGATATACCCTTACAAATGTATTGACAGAAACGAATTTCTGATTACGCGTCCGCATAAATCATCGCTCGCTCGAAACTGTAACAGATCAATACTGATTTATGTACCTAGGGAACGAGTTGTCCAGATAGTGACGAAGAGAAGGACAGTTTTGGACATTGCGCGACTGCCACGCGCCGGCGTACCTCACGCCGGGGAGTCGAGTTAAAGATAGCTGAGATTCAGATAGATATTGATTCGCATTTGCTCGAACTGTTAGGCGGAGATGAACAGGACGCCATACAGTATGCAGCCAGTGTCATCAACTATGTGAATGGCATATACGAGGAGCAGTTGGGCATTACGCACCAAATTGTGGGTACGAACGTGCACACGGAGGTCGTGCACAACTCAAATGTAATGAGTGATTTATTAACACAACACACAGCCCTCTGGAAGGAGAAGGCGAAGGAACCTGGGCAGCCTAACTATGACATATCGTTTCTGCTAACAGGCAGAGGTACAGGCGATGTGGTGGGGATAGCGTATATCGGCGCCGTGTGTTACTATCACTATAAGACGGGTGTGGCGCAGTTGCTGTATCACGATGCCATAGTGCGCCAAGTGGCTCTAGTTGCGCACGAATTAGGTCATATGTGGGGGTGCAATCATTTGTCGCCAAGTGATCCTTCACGCATTATGAATAGCATCACCACTTCGTCAGCTACATTTGGACCGGTATGTTTACGTATCATGCCTATTTGCATGGTTTATTAATTATTTGAGTACGTACAGGAGAACAGGCTTTGGCATGTGAATATTTTGACATTTGGCATATGCTGTGAAACATACATGAAACTACGCAAGTTTTCATATCTTCACGAATCATGTTCGTTGGTTATTTGCGCTCGAATTCGACACATATCTGAAGGTCGACTGTAATACAACGAAAACCTAGAGATATACGAATGCCGCCCTTGAAAACGGTACCGCACACACATACTCCTGGGGTATAATCAGTAATATTCAATGCCTAACAATGCTACACGCATAGATGTACAATCAAAATATGACAACTACAACTAAACCATCTGCAAAATCAACTTCCACAGGCGTGTGTCGAAGCGGCTACTGCTTTCTCGAATAGTATCATGAGCTGTCTAGATGGCGGCCAGATACAGAGTGCGTGTGTCGCCGGCCCGTGTGCACGTGGACTGTGTGAAGATCAAGGCAGCACGTCCTCCTTCACGTGTTCGTGTCCCGCAGGGTACTCAGGTGTGTTGTGTGAGATAGATGAAGACGAGTGCGAGAGCGCTCCTTGCAAGAATGGCGGCACTTGCACCGATGCCGTGGCCGGCTATGTGTGCGCGTGCCCAGCCGGGTATGAAGGGACCCAGTGTGAGATTGACGCTGATGAGTGCGGCAGTGCGCCATGCTTAAATGGTGCACGGTGCGAGGATGGGGTGAACAAATACACGTGCCACTGCGAGCCTGGATTTGAGGGGCCCACATGCGCCATCAATATCGACGATTGCAGCGGCAACCCTTGCTACAACGATGGCGGGTGCATAGATGGCGTGAATGCGTACACGTGTGGGTGTGCAGTGGGGTACAGTGGGCACAACTGCGAAGTGCAGACGGACGACTGTGCCGTCACACCGTGCGCGAACGGAGGTACGTGTGAGGATCTGGTGGGGTCGTATAAATGCACGTGTGCAGCTGGATATTCCGGTACCAACTGCGAATCGAATGTAAACGACTGCCTGCCCAACCCATGTCAGAACGAGGGAGTGTGCATCGACGGCCTCAACTCGTACGCGTGCAACTGCAAGCTCGGATTCATGGGCCCCACATGCTCAGAGGTAACCAATGAGTGTTCCCCCAATCCCTGTACTAATGGTGGAACATGCGTAGATGGCCACAACTCTTACACATGTCAGTGCGCAGCAGGCTTTTCGGGAGACATTTGTGAAGTAAACATAGACGAATGCGCAAGTATGCCCTGTCTCAACGGAGGAGGGTGTGTGGACGGAATAAACGGCTACACTTGTACTTGCCAACCAGGGTTCGAGGGAACCGTGTGTGAGGTAAATATCGACGAGTGCTCACCAAATCCCTGTCACAATGGGGGTGTATGCACAGACCAGGTGAATGGGTACTACTGTACATGCCCCCCCGGATACGATGGCTTAACTTGTGAAAACGATCGCGACGAGTGTGCAATCAATCAGTGCCTAAACGGCGGTGCGTGCGTGGATGGGCCTGGTTTCTTCACGTGCACGTGTACCAGCGGATACACCGGTGGGTACTGTGAGATAGAAGTGAACGAGTGCGAGAGTAATCCATGTCAGAATGGGGCTGTGTGCTCGGACCTGGCAGATGCATATTTGTGTACTTGTGTTGGAAAATGGACCGGTACAAACTGTGAGACTGTCAAGCTAGACACGTGTATGGACCAGCTTTGCCAGAACGGAGCCGACTGCTACGACCTGAACGCGGGAGGTTACGAGTGTATGTGTCAGCCGGGATACAGCGGGCTTTCCTGCGAGAGTGACATCAACGAATGTGCCAGCGAACCCTGCAAAAACGGCGCTTTTTGCAGAGATGAGGTAAACGGGTACGCGTGCGAATGTAGTGGCGAGTGGACAGGTACACACTGTGATGTCTCGACGGTAGAGGTGAATACAGACCCTTGCGCAGGCTTCGATTGTTATCACGGTACTTGCCAGGCACTTGGGGACGCGCCTCAATGCGTCTGTGGCACGGGATATACCGGTTCAAGATGTAGCAGTGAAATTGACGAGTGTCTTACTTCGATGAATGTGTGCCAGAATGGTGCCACGTGTGTAGATGGCCTGAACTCTGTCACGTGCGACTGCTTGCCTGGATACGAAGGTGCGGATTGCTCTGTATACGCCTGTCCGTGTCAGAATGGGGGCAGTTGCATAGACGACAATGGATCGACGGTGTGCAAGTGCGTGGACGGGTACTCTGGAGACACGTGCGAGTATGCACCGGCGAGTGACCTGACCAACTACTGCAGCCCAGACCCCTGCAATGGCAACGGCAACTGCGTCTTGAACCCTAGTGTAGGGTTCGAATGCGTCTGCTTCAGCGGCTACTCGGGCACCAACTGCGTGCAAGAAGTGGTTCCCCCCCTCACCTGCAGCAGTAACCCGTGTTTCTACGGCGGGTTTTGTCTGGACAGGATTTATGGGGTGAAATGCATTTGTGTGGGAGGTAGAACGGGCGAGTTCTGTCAAAACGACGTCAATGAGTGTGCTAGCAGTCCGTGTATGACGGGACGTTGTAGCAATCGGCACAACAAGTTTGTGTGCACGTGCCCTACGGGATGGTCTGGGGAACTTTGTAGTACTAGAATTATAGCATAAATAGTCCATAGTTACGGGTGAGCAGTTCATAAACGAGAATGATGGGAGTATATATATTATTGCAAATAAATTTTAGAATATATATCAATTGTTCAATATTCAAATTATCCACTCTTTACTTGCCTCGAAATGAATTTGCTAGAGTTTTGGCCAAACTTGTCTCACATATTCATTGCAATTATATATTTGACTAAGCCGGAATTTAGGGGTGCTCTTCTGTTTTAGTCTCTAACTCGTTAAAATTATAGTTAGAAATACAAAAATTATGTCATTGCGTGGTACTAAATATATCTGTAGACGACTAAGAGCTCAATATATT